CAAAGAATGTTTTGCAAGAACATACCTTCCTTTGAAAGCTTTGCTTGGTTAAAAATAACCCAGTTAATCCAGCAGATTACAAGATCTAAATTAGAGGTAAAAATTCCAAAAAGTATACATATTTTTTATCAAGGTGCACAAAAATTAATGATTCAATTACATTTCTTATTCTTTTTCATTTATTTCTTTAGACATAAAGGTAATTGTGCTAGTACATATTATTTAATACAATACTTGTGTTTGCAACTTTTGTTGTTTTGAGTTTCATTAATTTGTATAGGTTTTCATGCGTTGAACCTTTGTAATTATTATCACCCTAGTACTTTTGACAAACTTGTATGTTTTGCGCTTCCAGGTTTTGGTATGGTATTACTCTAATAAAAAAAGGATGAGAGTTTTGAATTAACTTTACATTAAAAGTATTTTAATTCAATACTTCACATTAAAATCCGGGCTTTCTTCATCACTCTCGGGAGATTCTCCAAGTTTTTCAATGAGTTTTTTAAAAATAATACGTTCCGACCTCTCCAATTTATCAAATATTTTTTCTCAAAAAATGAATGTAAGCAAACAAAAAAAAATTAAAAAAGTTAAATTTTGTCACACTTAACATTAACTATAAAGTTAATATGATAATAAATATCGTATGTTGTGATTACACCAACTATACTAATTTTGAATAATTTTAGTGTATATATATACTCGCGTGTGGACATGGTTATCACAATCATTGTCTACAAAGGTGCCAATCTAAATGTTTGATATGTTTGGACTATCTTCAAGTCGAAATCAAAAAAAATGTCAATGCACTAAAAGAAAGTATGACAAAAAGATTAAACGAAATGAATTTATCGAAAATAATGAAAATGCAGTTGATGATGATTCGGGTAATGTTGAATCAGCAATGATGGAAATTTTATTAGAAAATGCAAAAAAACATTTTTTGAGTTGTGGATTTTGTTTTTATTAATAGATTTGTTTTTTCATACATCGTTCATGTTTTGTCTTAATCGTATATCTTAAATTGTCGCGTTTACATTTCGTCGACATTCATTATATTAAGGTTATTTTGATTGTATTGAGAGATATGGTCAAGAGAAGAGTTAGGAAGAGAGTTATTCATCAACCAAGTCGAAAACCAACCCTTTAAATACATTTTCGAGTAGTACAATTTAATTTATTAGACTATTTCAAAGGTT